AGGACTGATTTGGATGTCTTATTTCCTGTTCTCATTTCTTTAGTTGTTTTTTTTTTTTAAGTACATACCACTAAATCACTCCAAAATATTTCCTAATTGTTGAAATCTTCTCTCAGAAAAATCAATTGATAGGATACCTTAACCACATCAAATAGTCTATCAATTTCTTTGTCTGGGCAGTGTCTTTTCCAGGATCTCTCTTCCTGTCCTAAATCTAGCCATGTTTGCCTTAGATCTGCAAAGAGCTAACTAGGCCTAAGTGAGCCCTATGCTGCTATTTTAGCTGTCTACTGATTATAGGTTGGAAATAAATGTTAGTTGGAATTTTGAACGCATGTTTTCTATTGCGTCTGAGTTTCCAATGTTGATGTAGGGAATTCAGGCACTCATATTTTTTACATTTTTTAAGGAATCAGCTCCCCTCCTCATTTTGGAAGCTTTTACAGTCCTCTCACTATTCTCAGTATTCTAAAATCTCAAAAGTTCCAAAATAGGCCTGCCCTGTGTGGATGTGTTTCATCCACTGTACCGATATCCAGTGAGCCTTCAATGATAAGGGCTATATTTTCCCATTATGGAAACGTTTTTTTTTAAAAAAATGTATTCTTTGCTTCTGTTTTCTGTATTCCTTTCCTGAAACTATTATTCTGTTAATTTTCTTCCTTCTTATTTTGTCTAACAAATTTTGTATTTACAATATATTTTATATTTTTACATTTTACATTTATATTTATACATTTATTTATATTATATATTTTATATTTTCTTATTTTTCTTTTATAGGATACTGTTTGTACTTTATAAATGCAATTCTTTGTCTACCTCCTGAGCATATTAATGATAGTTTCTTTGCTCCTGTTTCTGTCCTCTTGCATAGACTTTGTTTCCTGCAAGCAGATGTTTTCTTTTGGTTTGTTTGGAACTCTTTCTTTTGTGCCCAAGGCTTTCTTCATATTCTCAGGAATTTCTGGTTCTCTGCTCATATTTACGTCAGTGAAAAGCTGCTTAGAAACTCTGCCCATGTGTTTTGGAATTTATTGTTGACCATGAAATTCGCGGTATCACGTGGACTCTTTTTTAATAACTCTAAGGTCAGTACATTTTTCTTGTTTTTCATGTGCTGATTGTATTTCCAAGAAAGAATAGCCTGGTCTCCTGCCTGTTGACATCTGAAGAGCATAGTTCTGGCTACTGGGACCCTTGGGGTAGAAGGCAGGGTTCTAGACATACAGCATCCAAGCTCGCATGCAGTATTCCAATTTTCATTGTGATATCTAACCCTGAACTGTGTCTGCTGCTCCTGTGGCCCATTTGGCAATGTCTAAAGATTATAATTCTGCTTAGCGGAGGAGAAGCAGTTTATGTAGGGTTGGGAAGACATTTCCAGATTTAACTGCTTCATAAGCACTTTTTTTCTTACTCCCACTTTTCAACATTTTAAAAACTTTGAGGACTGCTGCTATGTAAATTAGATTATTTATTGGTTTTCCTCAGTACTGATTTAGGATTCACTGTCCATGGATAACTGAGTCATTTTCCACCCATTCTTTAACTTTACAGCTTCCAACAATGATTTTGTCTTCTCTTTTCTTGATATTTATATAATTGTGATTATGACTTTAAAAGTCTATTTGCTCCTGTTTTAATGGAGATTCAGAATAGAGTGGAGGTAAATGGACCTATTTAATTGACCATCTAAATGGAAGATGTGATATGTATCTTTTATATTAAAAAACAGAAATGAATTAACCCTAATAAAGCATAGATTGGCCTTGTGCCTTTATGGCCCATACGGTGGTGGATGACATTATGTAATAAGGAAAGCAGGGCAGGGAGACTCTTATACGAGGAGGTATTGGACATTAGAGGTATTGGACATTGTTTGCATAGTGTTTCTATGTGATCAGCTAAGTAAATGACAGATTATTTTATCTAGTTTTAATTAAATGAGCCTTCCCATAATGAGTATATGGTTTTAAATGATTTCTCCAAGGAAACAATTTCTGTAAAAATCACAGAATAAACCTACTACTTAAGTGAACAGCAATATCCTGATGTGAACTCTTCATGGAGAGCTAGTGAAGATGTAATCAGTAATAAATCATACAACTAAGTGCAGTGGAGTAAAATTGAAATAACCAAGAAGACTCTTTGAAACAGCATTTACATCCACTATACTTAATATATAAATGCACTACCTGTTGTGAATTGGGATATAAACTAACACATATAGCAATAGTGGGATGAGCAGAAAGGTATTTATAATTTAGCATTCAGGGCATGACAGCTGTTCATTAAAGCAATTTTTTTAGCAGTGTTAAAAAAATATAAATAAATCTAGAATACACTTACAAAATTGTATTACCCTAAATGTTCAATATTTAGAAACTTCCTTTGAAATTTCCTAGATATCTATTATTAAATCTTATTATTTCTATAGTGGTAAAAATGACTGTAGTCAATCCCTGACTTGAAATTATATTACAGAGCTACTGTGATAAAAACAACATGGTATTGACAAAAAACAGACCTAATGATCAATGGAACAGATTAGCAAATGCAGAAACAACCTCAAACACACTCAGTCACTTTATGTTTGACAAGGGGGCCAAACACATTCACTGGGAGAAAAATAGCCTCTTTAATAAATGGTGCTGGGGAAACTGCTTTTCCACATACTGAAAACTGAAATTAGATCCATGACTCTCACCATGCACTAAACTAAAATTGAAATGGATCAAAGATCTAAATATTAAAACAGAAACACTAAATCCGTTGGAAGATAGAATAGGTAGAACTCTTGAAGACATAGGTGTAGGCAAAGACATCATGAACAAAACCCAGACTGCATTGGAAATACTACCAAGAATCAACAACTGGGATCTCATCTTATTTAAAAGCTTTTGCACAGTGAAAGAAATCACCACTAGAGTGAAAAGACAAACCACAGAATTGGAAAACATTTTAGCCAGCTGTTCCTCAGACAAAAGTCTAATATCTAGAACATATAAAAAATTGAAAAAAATCTGATCCTCCAAATTTAAAGACCCAGTGCAAAAATTGGCATCTGAGATGAATACATATTTCTCAGATGAAGAAGTACAAATGGCAAATAAATATATGAAAACATGTTCAGCATCATGGGTCATTTGAGAGA